AAGCTTATCCCCTGAAGAACAGAGCACTCATGCTCACATTGTTTGAAAGAATCACTTCACTGCCAGTGTCAACATGAAGCTTAACATCCTGACATTTATGGGAAAGGCAAAACAATCCCACTTGTAAACTGAAGAGATGAGCCCAACCAGCCAGGCATGTCCCATCTGTCCCTCTCCCGGGGGCTGGTCACTTTCTTTCTAATGGCAGTTGTTGATGCCGACCTCATGTCCTCTCCTGGCCGGTTGCTCTCCAAGAGCAGGGTTAATGCCTCATTCTTTCACCCCTACATTCCTGTGTCTAGTATTTGGCCTGGATATAGTAGGTGCACATTAAATATCTGTTGTGTGAGTGGATGAGCATCTTTCCCAAAAGGCCAATGTTCACCCCAGCCCTGGACTTCTCAGGGGCCCTGTCCAGGCAAAGGATGGACCAAAAAGGGAGCTGGGTAGGAGACAGAAGGTTTGGCTCCTGTCACAGACTCTGCCACCCACAAGCATGTGCTCAGGTGAGTCATGTCATCCATTTTGGTGTTCCCATCTCTAAAACAGGAGGAATAGCTGTCCCCCCACTTTTTAAGGGTTTGCGATGACATGATGGGAAAGAAGCACTTGGAAAGAGGTTCCACAAGTGTGATGTGATTCCCCTCACACCTCAGAGGGGAGTTTTGCAATTGAGAAGGCGGGGCAGTGCAGGACCAAGGTTAGAAACGGTGTGCAACTTACTCTCAGAAAGCCAGCAGGTAAGCAGAGTGGATTTGGAGGTATAATGAATGACTGCAAAGGCCACCCAGGCTGTGCTCTCTGCACATGGGAACTAGAAATCAGAGTACAAACTATGGAGCCAGTAGATAACACAGATATGGGAGTGGTCTAAGGTAAGGCAATAGGGAGTGGTGGGACCTGCAGCCAACTAGAGATTACAATCACACGCTGCCTCAGGCAAAAAGGTTTAAAACTTACACCCCATGAAACAGCAAAATGCATCTATGGCCTGCTGGCTGGGAGTCTGAGACCCCTGCAGATGGCTGTATTAAGCATGTCATTTTTTTTTTTTTTTTTCAGACGGAGTCTCGCTCTGTGGCCCAGGCTGGGGTGCAGTGCCATGATCTCGGCTCACTGCAACCTCTGCCTCACAGGTTCCAGTGATTCTCCTGCCTGAGGCTCCCTAGTAGCTGGGATTACAGGTGTGTGCCACCACACCAGCTAATTTTTGTATTTTTAGTAGAGACGGAGTTTCACCATGTTGGCCAGGCTGGTCTCAAACTCCTGACCTTAGGTGATCGGCCCGCCCTGACCTCCCAAAGTGCTGAGATTACAGACGTGAGCCACTGTGCCGGGCCTCTAGCATGTCTTTTTATTCCAATGCTCACTTGGGGCCTTGCTGACACTGGAGAGACTGCCCCTACCAGGCAGGGCCCCCTAATTCCTAGAGATAGTAAACAGCTGAGTATGCCTTTAACGTGCAAAGCCATGAATCCAGAGATGTAACCCAGATGCCTCCTTGATCAGGCTGTCACACTGGAGGCCATTACCCATCTGCCTTAAGCACCCCAGAGTCTGGCCAGACAACTAGGGACAGTCCCTATACCCCAGAACCTGCTGAAATGACTCAAACCAGCCCATCTGAAGCCTGTTTACCCTGCTTGCCTTTTCCAGAGAAACCACAGTAAAGGCTCTTGCCCATGTTTTCCCCTTGGGCTGCCTCCTGACCCTGGTGCTTCCCCCACGTGGCCCTGCATGATTATCGCATGCCGCCTCTGCTTAGGAACTGTAACAAATTGTCTCTCCAATGGCAGTTGTCTCCTGACCTGCTGGCCTCATTAGGCCTGAACAGTAAGAAAACCTGTATTTTCATACATCTGTAAACCCCGCTGGAGCACAGCTCGCCACTGCTGCTTTATTGCCCCCTGAATCTTGGCACCTAGCACAGTCCCTGGCACATTGAAGACACGATTTCTTTTTTTTTTTTTTTTTTTTTGAGACAGAGTTTTGCTCTGTCACCCAGGCTGGAGTGCAGCTTACTGCAACCTTTGCCTCCCGATTCAGGTGATTCTCCTGCCTCTACCTCCTGAGTAGCCATGGCATGTGCAGTCATGCGTGGCTAGTATTTGTATTTTTAGTAGAGACAGAGTTTCACCATGTTGGCCAGGCTGGTCTCAAACTCCTGACCTCAGGTGATCCACCCACCTCGGCCTCCCAAAGTGCTGGGATTACAGGTGTGAGCCGCCACACCCAGCCAAAGACACAATTTCAACCCTAATCGATGAATGGATGGGCACAGGGATGAAAGCAAAGGGCTGGGTACAAGCAGTTGTTTGGCTATGTGGATCCCCTACACTTCAGCTTCACGTTTGCAATTGCTTCAGGACACTAAATTCTGCATATGCCTCAGTGCTGCGACTGGCATAGATGTAAGCCAGACAGAGTGGCGTGAGTTCACACTAGTAGGAGTAAGCAGTGATTAAGCTCTGAGGCTCACCACCCCGCTGCCTTTCAGCTTTTCAGGCAACTCCTAAGTGGGGGCAGGGGGAAGAATATTCCTTTAATGGCTGATCTTCTGGCTAACTCTGGCTATTTCTTTTATTCAAACTCTTAGAAAGAGATGGCCATCTCAAAGGGTCTCTGCGCCCATTGGTAAAAGGGGAAAAGTCAGAGAGCGGCTTCCTAGCCCACCTTCAGTCTCTGAGACCTGCCCACGACAGGCTCTCCAAAGGCAGCCAGTCAGGTCACCCTCAAGACTCCCTACGTCTGCAGTGGTGCAGTGGGCTGTCTCTGTATCCCTGAATAACCGAACTGCATCCGGTTAATAAACTGAAAGCTGAGCTAGAGAACCTGTGTTGTTTTTAATCTTTACTCTTTAAAAATGCATCAATCTAGCCAGGCGCAGTGGCTCACACCTGTAATCCTAGCACTTTGGAAGGCTGAGGGGGCAGATCACTTGAAGTCAGGAGTTCGAGACCAGCCTGGCCAACATGGTGAAAACCCAACTCCACTAAAAATGCAAAAATTAGCTGGCCATGGTGGTGGGTGCTGTAATCCCAGCTACTTGGGAGGCTGAGGCACAAGAATCGCTTGAACCTGGGAGGCGGAGGTTGCAGTGACCTGAGATCATGCCACCGAACTCCAGCCTGGGAGACAGAGTGACACTCCATCTCAAAAATTAAAAAATAGGCCTGGTGCGGTGGTTCGTGCCTGTAATCCCAGCACTTTGGGAGGCTAAGGCGGGAGGATCATGAGGTCAGTTCAAGACCAGCCTGACCAACATGGTGAAACCCCGTCTCTACTAAAAATACTAAATATACAAAAATACTATACAAAATACTATATTTACAAAGTATACAAAAATACTATACAAAATACTATATTTTTGTAAATATACAAAAATACTAAATACTAAAAATACAAAAATCAGCTGGGTGGTATGTGCCTGTAATCCCAGATACTCAGGAGGCTGAGGCAGAAGAATCGCTTTAACCCATGAGGCAGAGATTGCAGTGAGCCCAGATCGTGCCACTGCACTCCAGCCTGGGCGACAGAGCAAGACTCTGTCTCAAAAATAAATAAATAAATAAATAAATAAATAAATAAATAAATATGCGCCAATCTGCTCTGCTTGACAATGAACTGAATTTCTCTGATCACAGGGCCCTTGGGTATCATTCTCAGTATCACCGTCTCCTTCCTAGGTTCTGGAAATAGGCAGAGAGAAGACAGGTGCAGAGTAGGCCTGTCTGGGAAGTACCTGAGGAGGGTGGAGAAGCCTGTGTTTGCTGTTTCTGATGAATGTCCTTGGGTTATTTAGTGCTTGGCAGTGAACGGCTCCCTGAAGGCCATCCCTTTCCCAGGCCCTGGATGGAAGGGCAGGAAACATTTGACCACAGTGTCTAGACAGCGAGGCTAGGGAATCCGGGGGGCTGCCCAAGAGCTCATGTGGGGGACAGCCATCAGTAGGGTAACTGTGACCCAGAATAGAACCAGATTAGGGCTTATAATAGGCATTATCCCAGTCTAATTATTAAGCTCAACCCCTCTTCTCTCAGAAAAGTGTCCTAGTTTGATTGATAAACTATACAGCCACCTTCAACACTAGGGAATTTTGCAAACAGGAAAGTCTGAGTTGGGAGGCTCACACGCAACAGAAGCTGGTCACTTTGTACAAACAGAAAGGGCTTAGCAAACATCCTGGAAAAGGCCTGGTGGCAGCACCCAACCCCCTACAAATAGCACGAACAATTCACCGAAGGGAACTGAGCCTGACCTTGGCCCTGGTGGGCTCTGCTCTAAAAGTGGAGTTCCTGGGCTGGCGGGGACAGCCTGGCTCAAGCATGGCCCATTCGCAGCCTCCCCATCCAAGAAGAGCAGGCTGAAAGGCAGCATTTCTTTTTCCTGGTGAAGTCTCAAGCCAGAGTTAGTAAGTTCTGTGGGAGCAGAGAGGAAAGGATTATGATATGTCCGCGATGGGTACAGGAGAAAGGAAGAGCCCCACCAACTCCATCCTTTGCACGTACCTGTGCTACAATGCCATTCAACACCACCTTGACTCGCCAGGGGGACCCTGAACAATTTCCCACTTGTGTTTCTTTTCCTTCCTGGTTGAGATCTTGTTTCTGTCAAGATGAACTATTTATCTGCATTGCATGAAATGTCACGGGTTGTGGTCAAAACCAGGACCAACCCACACACAAGAAATAATAACCCTTTGATGACACTCACACACAAGTTTCCCAAATCTTTAGAGGCTGTCAGTGATTCATTTTCTTTTTCCAGCACTGAACGTGCTCTCAAGAAATATTTAACCCAAAAGGCGACTGGCAGACAATACCCCCAGTAGCCTGGGTTTGCCGGATCAACTCATGCTTGAGTTAATTTACTAAGTGACCTGTGGACATGCATCCACTCACCAGAGAGGTAGAGCAAACACTTACAAGGTAAAAGGTAGTGATGTGTTTCACCCTGCGGCCTTATATGAGGCTTAATTAAGCTACAAAATGCTCGACGTGTCCAGTGTTGAAGGAATCTCTGTTTTGTGAACTAAAACTTCCAAGTTATTATTATTATTTTTTTATGTTAGCTTAGCCATCATGCAAAATTTACTGGTGAAGCAGTTAATAAAACACACATATCCCATGGAAGGGTTTTGTACATTTCAGTCCTTACAAATAACAAAGCAATGATAAACCCTGCACGGTCCTGAGAGGAAGTTCCTTTGCTTCTTAAAGCTGCCAGTCCTGGCTCTTTGGGGGCTCATGTGTTATAAATTCTGGAAGCTCTTTTAGCTGCAGTTTGAGCATCAGGCGAATCTTCTTCCTCTTCCTCGGTTCGCTTGTGTTTTAAAAACAAGTCAGACTTTAAGAAGCGGCTGTAGCTGTCGTACTTCATGAGATTAAAGATCTAAGGAGGAAAAGAAAAAAGAGTCTGAAGGCTGAGGCTAATCCAGGCCATAAATCATCTCATCAGATAAGTATTGGATACCTACCATGTGCCAAAGAATACTAGTACGTGCAAAGAACACACTAAGAAAGCTCAAATAAGCCATCTGCTAGACAAGGCACATTTCCTGGAGATTTTTGGTCATTATGCAATAATCTCAATGGAATATATAGACAGTCACATGAACAAATATGCCTTTATTTTCCACGGAAATATAGATTCACACGGCACTAATTCAGACCCTTGTATCAAGAAGTCCTTCAAGACTCTCCCCTTTATTTGCCTAGATAACACAAGGATGTATTTCTCCAAGAGCTTGAGGCAGCCGGATAGAAACCATTTCTGTAGAGTCAGTGGTGTTAAAAAGATCACTGATATATCATATGATGCCAGTATTGTTAAGACTCCCAGTAAGTCTGGCATCCGAGATCTCAAACAAACCTATTATTGTGCCAAGAGTCAAAATGAGGCATGCTCACTGCAGGGCAGGACAGTCAAACTATGATCTTAGCAAGGGAACAGGCCCCAAATAAAGAACGGAGCAGCCAGCTGCAGCAGGCCAACATCTGTGCCATCAGACAGGCTGGGGAGCACATCCCCAGAACGAAACAAGTCTAAGGTATGTCAGGTGAGCGAAGAAGACACCCGACAGAGCTGAAGTGCCCCAGATTAGAGGGCTGCCCCTGCCGGTACAGCAGACACTCAGAAGGCTGTTTTTCCTTTGGCTGCCACTGAACCTCTTCTGGGCCATGGTCCTTGTGACCAGCATTCATCTTCCCCCACTCCTACCCAATCCTGTGCCATCTGCCCTCCTCCCTTGTCCCAGGAAAGGGGCAAGGAAAGGAGAAGCACAAAGCCTTTTCCAGCTGTTGAGAAGTATGATCTCTTTCCCACCCCTCATCTTTCTCTCTCTCTCTCTCCCCCCCACCCACCCTCTCAGACCTTTCCACTTAACTTTCAGTATGCTCTGCAACTAAAAATCCACACAGTTCACCCTGGTACACGGAACAACCAAGTGGAAAGTTCCAGAGATGTCTAGAATGTCGCTGACTGCCAGACGGGGTTGTCAAGTGGATGGTAAAACCCTGACATATTTTAAGGCTGCCCTCTCCCAACACACATACACTATTTTATAAATGAAACATCTGAGGGGGCCGGGCACGGTGGCTCACACCTGTAATCTCAGCACTTTGGGAGGTGGAGGCAGGTGGATCACTTGAGGTCAGGAGTTCAAGACCAGCCTGGCCAACATGGTGAAACCCCCGTCTCTACTAAAAATACAAAAATTAGCCGAGCGTGGTGGCACATGCCTGTAACCCCAGCTACTTGGGAGGCTGAGGCAGAAGAATCACTTGAACCTGGGAGGCAGAGGCTGCAGTGAGCTGAGATCACACCACTGCACTCCAGCCTGGGCAACACAGCGAGACTCTGTCTCAAAAAAATAAATAAATAAAATAAAATAAAAAATAAATAAACATCTGAGGGACTCAAAGGACTCAGAACATCCGCTTGGCAGATAGGAGGTGCTTCAGGAGGGAACTGGAACCCTCAAATTTTACACCTTCATCTTCCCAAGATGGCTTCAACCACAGCAGAACCGCCTGAGTCACTGTACTATAAACAGAGTCCACAACCCAGAGAAAGACCTGGGACTTCAGGTTTTCTTTAAACTGTTAAACTAGCGCCTGCCCATCCCCTGGTGCCCTTCTAGTCTTGCCCGAGTCCTCCAGCTGCTCAGCAAGGCCCTGCCTCCTTAAGGCCCTGTCCCATGCCACGCTAGAGCAGTCGTCTATCTTGTAGCCATCCTGGAATTCCAGGTGTGACTGTAATTTTCTGAGGTTTACAGAAAAAAAAAAAAAAATTTAATCCCAGAAAAGACAAAAATCATAGCCGGGGGTGAGGTGGGGGATGAGAAACACCATTACTCCTTCAGGGTGTCCCACCAAGGTGCTAAGCAAGCGCCACCATCTGCCTTATTCAGCCCTTCCGAGCACAAGAGCCCCCAAGGGAAACTTTTCGAGGCTTACCTAGTTCAAAGTTTGCAATGAACGCTCAAATGTGACTAATGAAACCAGTGGCACCAGGGTCCCGGCTGGCACCCGGCCTCAGTCCTGTGCCCACTCCCACCCCAGGTCCACGCAGACGGGACCCGCCACTCTGAGCAGGATGCGGTGCGACCCAGGCGTCTCGTGTGAAGTCTTTGCGCGTGGGAGAGGAACATCCTGTTTGCCTGTAGTGGCTCTGAGGCTCAGACTTCAAAGTAGAGAAGAAAAAAGGCTGGCGTTGGGGGCACCCAGGGCAGAGGAGGAGGGGGAGGGGAGGAGGCCGCTTCAGCTGGGAGGAAGCTCAGGGACTGCCCTGGGCTGGCAGGACTCGACCCTGAGATCCGGAGGCTGCCAGCAAGCTTGAGGGGAGGGGGCTGCAAACTATTTATTAAGAGCATAAGGGCCACTCCCTACTGGCGCAGGTGTGAAATGCCCTACAAGTACAGAAGTCCCTCAGGCAGAGGTTTCCTCCTCTGAGAGCTCTCGCCCATCTCCCACGCTGCTGCAGTGACTGGGAGGCAGCTGTGACCGCTGGACCCAGACAGGCTGGAGAAAGAGAGGATGTCACCCCCAAAGCCTTCATGTGCCTGGGCTGTGGGAAGCCTGATTGCTCTACATGGGGTGTGCAGGCAGACTTCTGACTGCCACCAGCCAAGGACCCCCTGGGCCTGGCTCAGGAGCACGCAGTAACAGGGTGCTCCTGGGACGGGGCTCAGCAAAGGTGACTTAGAGGATGGAGAATGCAACTAAGGCTGGGCGCAGTGGCTCATGCCTGAAACCCCAGTGCTCTGGGAGGCTGAGGCGGGGGATAGCTAAATCCTGTCTCTACTAAAACTATAAAAATTAGCAGGGCTTGGTGGCACCCACCTGCAGTCCCAGCTACCAGAGCCTCATCTGTCATAGGGAAAAGAGCTGTAACTGGGGTCCAGTAAATGTTTACCACTGACTGAACAGAAACCGTTCGCTGCGCGGCAGCAGAGGCTGGGAAACTGAACCCGGCTAGCACCCGGCCGCTGTGCCCTCCAGCCCCGCGCTGGGCAGCGTGTGGGCATTCTTTCCTTCAGTCCTCCCTCCAGCGCTCTGAAGACCCTGATTTGACAGAGGAGGAAACGAGGGGCTTAGGGTTCCTCACAGTTCCGGAGGCTAGAAGTCCGAGGTCAAGATGCCGTCAGGGTTGGTTTCTCCTGAGGCCGCTCTCCTTGGCTTGCAGACCACACCTTCTCCCTGCGTCTTCACGGGGTCTCCCCAGTGCATGTGTATCCTTCCCTCCTCTTCTTACAAGGACACCAGTCAGACTGGATTAGGGCCCACCTCAATGTCCTCGTTTAATGTTAATTACCCCTTTAAAGGTCTATCTCCAAATAAAGTCACATTCTGGGGATTAGGACTTCAACATATGAATTAGGGAGGGGAGCACAGGTCAGCTCATAACAATGAGCAAAAGAGACGGGCGGGAGGCCAGCCCGGGCAGGCTCTGGAGCCCCTACTCCCGACCATGAGGCCATCTGCCACTCGCATGGCAGGACAATAAAAACGAGGGCTGCAAAGAGAGCAACATGGAAAACTGCCCGTGAATGTTAAATGACTGATGCTAAATTTTAAAAACACACCCTGTCTAAAAACAATGATCCCAAATACGTTCTTTTTTGTTGTTGCTGTTTGTTTTTTTGAGATAGAGTCCCACTCTGTCATTCAGGCTGGAGTGCAGTGGCGCGATCTCGGCTCACTGCAACCTCCGCCTCCCGGGTTCAAGCGATTCTCCCACTTCTGCCTCCTGAGTAGCTGTGATTACAGGCGTGCGCCACCATGCCCAGCTAAGTAGAGACAGGTTTTCACCATGTTGACCAGGCTGGTCTCAAACTCCTGAACTCAGGTGATCCACCCTCCTAGGCCTCCCAAAGTGCTGGGATTACAGGCGTGAGCCACCGCACCTGGCTCCAAATACATTCTTTAAGAGTGTATCCATGTGTCTAAGTGAGAAACAAATGTCCCTAAAGGTCAGTAGTGGGGTAAGTGGTGCTCCCCTAAACTTACGTTCACCTGGAATCTCAGAATTGACCTCATTTGAAAAGAGGGTTGGAAAAGGGTCTCAAAATGAAATCACACTGCATTTAGCGTAGGCCCTAAATCCAAGGACTGGGTGTCCTCATCAGAAGAGGAGGGGACACAGAGAGACACACCGAGGGAAGAAGGCATGTGAAGGCAGAGGCAGACATCGGTGATGCAGCCATGCGCCAAGCAGCGCTAAGGAGTGCCGGCAGCCACCAGCAGTCTGGAAGCTGAAGGGGCAAGGAAGTACCCCTAACATCCCCCCGCCACCGCCCACCAGAGCCTTTTGGAGAACAGGGCCCTGCCAACACCGTGATGCAGATTTTCAATGTTTCTGCTGAGCGAATGCGTTTCTGCTGTTTGAAGCCACTTGGCCTGGGGTCATTGCTTACGACAGCCCGAGGAGGCTCATCGAGTCCTCTTTTTGATTTTACCTCACCCCTGCTCAAACACAGAAAATGAGATGGGCCTAGGGGTCCCAGACAGTTCCAACAAGCAGGGCTCCCCGACGGGGAGAAATGACCTCACCAGGGCTGGACTGTGATGGGCACCTGAACAACATGATCGGACTCCTTAAGTGTCCATAAGGAAGAGAAAGAAGAAAATGGAGCCATCTGGGCTAAGCGGGAGGCTGCAGGTGACTGGAAGACACGGCAGCAGAGCTGAGGCAGCCATCCGTCCAATGAGCAGCTGCTGGTGAAGCGGAAAACTCAAGTTGGCAGCTGAGCTGCATTCTGTATCTTTTTTTTTTTCTTTTTTTGGCCAAGACAGCTGCGACTTAGCAAGGTTTGGGGTTTTGGCAGCCCCACATCTGCGAGCTGCACGCCTGGACTGTAAACTGTTTAGCATCGTTGCCTTGGGATCCAA